TATATATATATATATATATAGTGACGTTCCTGCAATGCGGTACTAGTAAAAGCTCTCCGCGACGGTTAGACAACGACACCTTTGCTTCGAATCCGATTGAATGTATTTCAGATCGGGTATGCACTCACCCAATATCACTGTCAACCTATCATTTGTTGGTTATCTCAGTTCTCCTTTGTGCACAACCTACCAGTTCTACTTTGTTTACCTTTCACAATCACGTATACACGTGGTATCTATCCACTGCTGTTACCAGCCATACGGTCATAGTTTCTACTTTGACACCACAGTTCTCGACACCTATTCCGCTTTTTGAAGGTTACACTATTGATTACCGATCACTGTCACTCTTAATTCACTCCCTAATGATGTCTCTTCCATTATTTAACTTCACTTTGTTCCCTTTTCGCCGCTCGCATCATCACCATTCCGCTCTTGTTCGAGTTCTGTTCCTTACTAATCCTCGTCGTCTTGCCCGGTCTCGCCGCCTTCTCGCGCCTGACCCGTTCCCTGATGTTCTCAGCTACTCGCCGTCGTTACCGCGCAATTCAAAGTACATGTATCTAAGAACACTCACTGCGTTTCAATATATAATGTATAATATATAATATATAATATATAATATATAATATATAATATATAATATATAATATATAATATATAATTTATAATATATAATTTATAATGTATAATATTAAATATTTAAAATATATTAATAAATTTTTTTTCAAAGCTACCCGTCAAAGTGGCCGATGCAAGTTTAAGTTAATTGTACTGAGTGAGAATAACAATACAGTAAATAGCAAACGTCATAAAATAAATTCAATGATAAGATCCATCGGTTTCATGAATGTAACAGACTGAATGGTAGTAACAAGAATTGTTCCGCACTTTTGGGTCAGTGACCTCCATCTGTTCTTTTGTTGTTTCCTTGCAAATGCCGATATACCCCCTGTTTTGCTTCTGGACACAAATGTAACTTCATTTTCTGTGTACATCTGTAATTCATTGGAAAATATAGTTCTCCATGTTATCACGCCAGGAAATATTATTCCTTCATGAATGCGTTATGAGGGATACGAGCCCAAATCTATAGCTTATGTACCCTTGAAAGTTGTATTAAATCGGAGCGAATACTTGTTAAAAATTCATCCCCTAAACGCTAATTTATTTCTTACTATTCAGAATTCAACTTGTATATAACTTAGGGTAAGGATCTACGTTTAAGAAAACGAGCAGAGATAACACTTCTTCCGGAAGCACACTGCACACCGTTTGTAACTGTTGTCGTAAATAAATAAAAAACGGACAGGGCTTGTTATAACTGGTCCGGTATGTTATCTTGACCAGTAATAACGTCGCCTCGGCAATTGCACTTCTGAGCCTGGCTTTCGCTGCTGGTATGCGTGCATTAGATGGCGCTCTGCTTTGTGGTGCCCAGGCGATTGACTCAGCCAGCGGCCCCAGCGGACGAGCAGTCGGGCGGCGGGGCGCCTTGCGCGTGGTGGTGATGCCGGGGATTCCTCCGTCAAGGCCGTCTCGCTTCGCCTTCCCGCATTTCGTTGCTTTTTAATGTCCTCACGGGGGGCGGGGGGATCGCAGCCGCGTAGCTGGTCACGATCTCTGGCGGAGAGTTGTAGACGACCACCCGAACCCTAACTTTCACGGAGCAACTCACATTGACTTCAAGGTGGAGGAAGTGAGTAGGCAAACGCTAAACCCCAAGTCCGGGCCAGCCCCTTAATCCACCAATGGGGTCAATGGGGCCTGCCCTTAGCCTCGATTGGGGTACAGACGTTCGCGTGAATGCTTCGGATCTCACATATGGAATACCATGCACGGAACACGGACCTTGTCTCTGGCGATACTCACGTCGTTAGCCTCAAGGTGGAGGCAGTGAGGAGGCGGGAAGGAGACCTCAAGCCGCCCGTATCTTAATTCGAATGGCCTCCTGTTGGGCTCTTGGCTTGATCGTGGCAGCCATACTCACGTCGTTAGCCTCAATGTGGAGGCCGTGAGGAGACGGGAAAGGGGCCCCAGGCCGCCCGTATCTTAATTCGGATGGCCGCCTGTTGGGCTCCTGGCTTCATCGCGGCAGTGCCCGGTACTCTGGGCAAAATGGAGAGACTTGTTCCCGGCGCATGAGAGTAACTCATTATTCGGACTCTGGTTCTTGCCGTAAAGCTAGTAGCTCTGAGGTGGCAAAGTGGACGATCCCAGGCATAGAGGTGGTCGTGAGGGCGAACTGCGTTCCGCCGAGATCCAGATAACAGCCTGTTTGATAACTTGTACGCTGGCGGTGGGTGGGGATAAAAGCGCAAAGCCATAGATGCCCGCCTTGAGCACTTGTGCCCATGGTAGAACAAGGTAATTGTGTAGCCCTCGCGAAGTCCCGACTGCCTTTTAATGTTTTGCTGTACATCGGGATGTTAGTTCTCCCTGAACATGCCTATAATGCCTAGCGAGCAGCTTTGCATGTAGTCTGACGGTTAAATCTTGTACCCGTACTCTATGGAATTATTTCCGAATGCTTAGCATATCGTCAAGCCTCTGAAGAATCTTTGTCCGTACTCCACGGAAGTATGGCCAAAAAGTGTTTTCTCCTCGACGCACACCACACTCCTCGCACAACGTCCCTTCTCATAGCTAATGCGCAAACGACCAATGTGCCCGGATTGTCCTGCTAACGGACAAGTTTGGATTTTACAGAAAGTTGATGGTGTGCTCATAGGACTATTGCATTTTTTCTTGGAATTCAATTTGTAGAATCTATTCAATCGACCGGCACTGTTTCCTCTCGACCGATTCGAGGGGAGTCGTACCAGAAGCTGCGTAGAACGACGTTATTAAAATTACAATACGTCCCAAGGAATTAGGGAGTCACTGCACACACATATATTACCACCATACGATAGTTCCATGACTTATTTGTACATACTTTTTCCGATGACATGTTTGATTTGTATATTCGTTGGAGATCTATATATAGAAGTACTTTAGGCAAGCTGCTATCATATTATCCAAAGGATGTGTACTATATGGCTCTGGTTCACTGGATTTATTTGATTAAAAAATTGTTAGTACTTGGCTCCAGTTGGTTTTGAGGTGAACTCATATTTGTTTGGTGACTTGAAGCTGATTGTTATTTATTATTTATTTTATTTATCATATTTATTATTTTATGCCTTTTATGTTTGGGATTTGGCGGGATTTGGTGTTGCAATCTGGCAACTGATAGCTCTATCGTAAAGTTGGATGTTTTGAGGTTATACGTACTCAGAACGTTTTGACATACGAGAACTATTTGTGTTGTTTATAGTAAATTAAAAGATTTATCTTGGCCTCAAATGGGAATTAAATCGTGAACATTTTCGTGCGATTTTTTTACAATTTTCGACGTGGATTAACTCAGCAACAGTGCATGGATGAACTTAATTCAATTTTTGACGATGAAGCTCCATGAAGGACCAGTGTTTATCGATGGTATGGTGAATTCAATCGTGATCGTAGTTCACTCCAAGACGAATTTCGCGAAGGTCGACCAAAATCAGTTGTTGTTCCGAAAACCATTGATACTGTGCGTGAACTTATATTGCAAGATCGTCATGTGACCTATCGTGAGATTGAGACAACTTTAGGCATTAGTGAAACCAGCATACATTCAATATTGCATGAACATTTGACAGTCAAAACATTTGTTCGCGTTGGATCCCACACAATTTGTCAATCGCTCAGAAAAAAAGCTCGTGTCGATTAGTCGAAAGAAATGCTCAAAAAATAGATCGCGGTGCTTCGAAACACATCTTTGACATCGTGACAGGGGATGAATTGTAGATTTTCGCGTATGAGCCCGAAAGTAAACAGCAGTCGACTGTATGGGTGTTTCAAGGTGAGCAAAATCCAACAAAATTGTTCGCGCACGAACCACTTCCAAACAGATGGTCGCCTATTTTTTCGTAAAACTGGTCATGTCGCGACCGTACCACTAGAACAACGCAGAACAGTCAATTCTTAGTGGTACACAACGATTTGTTTGCCAGCTGTCTTCCAAGAAATCAGGAAAACCAACCGCCGAAGACTGATCATTCTTCACCACGACAATGCGAGCTCTCTCATATCGGCTCAAAAAACTGCAGTTTTGAGCACCCAAAACATCGATTTAATGGGTCATCTGCCGTATAGCCCTGACTTGGTACCGAATGACTTCTTTTTATTCCCGTACGTAAAAATAAAATTGAGAGGTCAACGTTTTTTGACACCTAAAGAAGCGGTTGCTGCATTCAGAATGCATATTTTGAAATACCTCAATCAGATTGGCAAAAGTACTTCGACTACTGGTTCAAACGCATGCAAAAGTGTATAGATCTTCATGGGGAATATTTTGAAAAACAATGAAGTGGTTTTCGAGGATTAATATTTGCTTTTGTTCTCTAATCCTGAAATATAAAAGGCATCCCTCGTGTATATATATATATATATATATATATATATATATATATATATATATATATATATATATATATAGTTTCATCCCCACACACAAATCTTGTCCTACCAGGACTTCTCCCCAGTTTGGGAGCCATGGCCTCCCGAGCTTCAATTTGCATCCTCTTCTGGCGTGCAAGAACACGCTTCGGCTGGTGTCTGAATCCCGCCGGAACGCGACGTGAGTATCGCCGGAATCTACGCAATCAGACGGATATTCATTCTTCTCGTCGGATTTTTATAAGTGGGTTTGGGACAAGTCCCGCACTCTTTCCTGCCCAACGGTCGGTGGTGAACAAGTTTCTCACTGCCTCCCCCTTGAAGCTAACGACGTGAGTACCGACAAGTAACTCGGGTCCGGGTGGGCGTTACTTCCTCCACGGACAACTTCAAACCTTTCGACCGTGAGCCACCTCCCTTCCGGTGAAGATGGTAGATATAGAGACAGACAGACGGTCGACGTATTTATAACAACATTTTCGGTATAAGAAAAAATCAAAAGTGTATTTAAAAAAACGAAATTAAATTTTCTGTAGTTTTAAATCGCTTTCATTTTACTACGAATATATCTTAGTGTTCGAAATTGTAAAGTGGAATGATTTTTGTACTAGCTAAACCCTCAAAGGTCTAGACTACTGGTTGGCTCAGGGCGACAACTGATGAGAGAGCAATGTCTCTAATCAGGAGGTTCAAGGGTTTGAATCCTGGCGGTGACAGGATTCTCGACACCACCTGCATAGATTGGTTGCTATTTCGAGGAGAGTTCTTGCGGCCGGCTGCTCTGATCGGCAATTATCTTCGTTTTTTCCGATTCAACGCCTGGAAATCCCGGACCATTACGGTAACAAACAGGCCGCGCGTAATCTTTCTTTCCTCTTTCTTTTCCTATTCTCATCCGTTTCTTACATACACATTTACACGCACCACAATACCACACTTGTCGGTATGCCAGTCGGGAATATAGAGGTAGTGTCGGCAGGGCAGGTGCAATGCTTGTGGGAGATACCCGGTTGGGGAAAATCCGCGCAAATCGAGGTAGATCGGCACCGGATCTCATCATCCAGTGGAGAAAGATAACCGCCACCTCCCGTGATAAAAACCTACGCTACCCTAACAGGACTAATGGCCTTAGCAGTTGACGTTCCTGTAATCATTAGTCAATCAATCAATCTGGGCAGAAGGGTTCGTCTGATTTGAGGTAACCCACCTGGCAAGAGTCTCGTCCTCCGTTTTTCTCTCCAGCGCAGAACATTCTGGGCGTTAGTTCTTCCCAGTACGTTTTGTTACAGCGCACGATATCCACCACGGGTATGGACACTTGTTGCAAATTCGTGGGCGACTCGCCGTTACTCTGTAAAAGAAAAACATTGTTAGAACTTTATTGTGTACAAAAGGATAACCATTTAATTTATGAATATGTGAGTAAATGTTTTGTGGCAAGGTTGGAATTAATATTTTCGATTACTTCTCTCTGTAAAATAATTAAAATTTCACTAGTGAATAAATGGACATTTTACCTACAAATACATGTTTCTTTCTCTTATACGCACACAGTGACAGCTGAATGTATTTAATTAATTTCATGCAGATATTACACAACAACTAATCGTTTTTTAAAAACAATGCACATGCAATTTTTTTAAAGAGCTAATTTAGTACAACAGACTTTGAGATAAAAATATGGATCTTTAATTTTTTGGTTTGAATATTTTTTCAATTTTCGAAAAAATGGTGCATGTTAACAAAACTGAGACCTGCACCTCTCTCTTAAACGTCCTCTGCACTATTCAACAACAAAGTTTAACCCCCCAAAAAATGTCCCAATTTAAAAAATATTGAATATGTTCGAGGGATTTCAGGTAAAATACCTCCCAAAATTAAAATAACTGTTTCAAATTCCAGGGACCAGAATAATTGGTGAATATCAGTTTTGGAGAAAATCGACTGAATGGTTTGTACGCTAGCGTCGCGTTGTGCACAGACAGACTGATATACGGACAGAGATGTTGCCGTCAAGCGATCTCTTAAATACGAATGATTAGCGATTACGTATTGCTAAAATGCCAACTAGGAATTCGACCCCAAAGAGGTCCTAGATGGTATTATTTGTCACGTTTACTTGAGTCATATCTTAGTGAGTTAAGAAGGAAGAGGGGAGTTTGGTTATTTTGGCAAAAATAATTTTATATCGAATTTGTAGTTTGTTATTCAATTTAAATCGCTATTTCACGGGAGCGAACAATTTTAGTTATAAGATTTTCTGTACAACGATCGCTGCTGTAATTTATTCTTAATTTAACCAATGTTGGGAAGAAGTGGGTGTGCGTATTCCGGGGATCAAGAAAACATGTGCGCGTGCAATACGCACCTTGAGTCTGCCCCAGCCAACGACGACTGCGATCTCCCCCGCTTTCACTGGCCTTCCCTCCTCAGGCAGCTCCACTGGCTGCGACGTCGGGGACATCTCGATGGACTCCGTAAGCTCCAGCAGCGCCATGTCGTAATCAAATAATACATCGGGGTCGTAATTCGGGTGGACGATGAACTTCTTCACTTCCAACACAGTTCCACCGTTTTCCCTTTCGCTGGAACCCACTCGCACTGTATAGTCCTTAGCCGAACTGCACAAAACATAAACACATCCAAGATAGTAAAGAAAATCCTCGCTCTCTTTGAAACAGAGTGCTGCAAACGAAACAATTTGCTCACGTCTAGAGATGGAGAGACTCAAAGTTAAGATCGAGCATACGTCCTGAATTCACGGAGGGACGACTCTCGGACCAGAGCAACGTCGTGCTTTGCTTGACTCGTTGAGGAAGGTAATGAATTGAATTGAATTTGCCTTATTTTACGTGGCGAGACTCGGGCCATCAGGCCCGCTCTTCCGTCTGACCACGCAAATTTCGCTACGCTCCTTTCATCTAGCAGAGAAAGGAGGTATTTCTTGGGCGAGAAATAGGCGATTTTGAATTTAGCTCAGAGGCGTCATTTAGGCTTGAGGATCTTTTACATGCAAGTAAATCTACTAACATGGTACAGGTAACAAATAATTTGATTATCGAGTTCTTTGCGCTGAAACCGTAGAATCTTGTCTCACCGCAGCGACCGCCGCCGACGCCAGTAGCCCTGTGACCGTCGCCGAAATGAGTATTAATTGTTAGTAGTTTCTTACGAAATAGTTTTAATTGCTCATGAGATTCGGCTATGTGTGTTGTTGGTGACTTGAAACCCATTGTTACCTTCTCGTATACTTACATATTTGCTACGTATATATAGTATATGTAGTATATACTACGTATATACGTAGTTTAGAGAAAGTAACGTAAAGCCGCAGAAAGTCGATTTCGAGATTTCAAAGGAAAACACATGTTTTGGAGTTCACTGTTACCGAAAAAGTTACACAACGTTCGTCCGTCTGTCGGTTCGTCTGTCTGTCCGTCTGTGAACGCCACTAGCAGCTAGACTATACGTCGGATGGATTAATAATGGATGTCCCTCGTACAATTTGGCTCCGCTAGAGACGCTTCGATTTTGAAAACTTTCTTCAAAATGTGGGGTACTTTACATGAAATTCCCCTATTATTTTAAAAAATTTCTAAAAAACCGCTTCAAATTTTTTCTTTAAATTTCTTGCAAAAATAGAGCAAAATATACTTATGAATGTGGCAACGGTCAATTTTTCACAATTAACTCTAAATTTTTGAAAATTTCAAAAGTATGATTTTGTTAGGCTTCTTACAACTACAAAATTGAAGATATGTGTTTTTTCTTCAAATTGAATTTGTTGTGCTTAATTAGTTCTTTCATTAACGCCATGTACACTTTTTTGAACTTTTAGAAGTTTTTACTGAGTATTGCCTGCAATGTGCGATATTTAAAAATATACAAAAAATAAATATTCCAAAAAACGACTTCAAAATGTATCTTTAAACTTTTGGTAGGTTTAATGAAGGTAGGATTTATTTAATTTGTTAATTATTAGAGATAGATATTTGTCAAAAATTGCCGTATTCAAAAACGTTGTCCTTCCACTTTTGGCATTTCGTAATGTAATATTTCACGTGGCGTTGCCATACAATGCTGTAAAAAGGCAGTTTGAGGGGCTATATTGGTTTCAGGGTACTTCAAAAGGTGTATTTCTCGAAATCGATTTTCAGCAGTATTACGTGCTTTCTCAACACTGTACATTCTCCACATATTCTTGTGTATGAAGGAAGGTAACTAGTGATTCTAAAGAAAAGGCAGAGGCTTTCTCGCATTCGTTTTCTAATCTGATTGGTTTGAGCTAGCTTTTTGTTTTTTTCACCCACATCGCAACTGCAACCTTGTCCCCTAAAACACCTACATTTATTCACATTTTCTCATTTTTACGTTCCCCTAACGTTAAAACTGAATTTTGTCTTTAAGACTATTATAGATGAATAAAACCTGTTCCTAAATGCAAATTTTTGTCGAAAAATTAAGAATCTTTTTGAGAATTCTTTTCAGCGTTTCTGAAAATTCCGAATTTGGAGCTCATTTTCATAGAAATCATTTGAGTTACAGAGATACGTATTGGAAATCATTTGAAGAATTTTTACTAAAAATGCAATAATTTATTTAAAACACCCGTTATGTAAATATTAAGGTCGTGAGATATAGAACTTAAAAATACTTTTATTCAATTTTGAAACAAAATAAAAGGAGTAATTCAAAATGTTCCTGATGCCATGTTGTTCAGTTACGGTTGCCAGGTGTCCACTGTTTTAGTTCAGAATCTGCTTTTTCACACCATGGTCACAAAATAGTGGACATTATTTTATTCAAAAGCTTTATGATCAAATGGCACGTAACCGAAAGCTATGCATTCTAAGTGATTAAGGATAGGGAAGTGGCGTTTAGTATTTTTTTTCATAATTTCGAATCAAAGAAGAAATATCCATTGACCTCGATTCTAAAAAAGATTAATCTCATTCAATTGTTTCATAAAGGTCATTTAATAAAAATATATTTTATTATTTACATACTATTTTATTTTACTTGCATTTTCCTATTATATATTACAATTTTCTTAATCAGATAGGTATGTTTTTAATATTATACGTATTATTATAATACATTTTATGATTTGAATATTAAGAAAAATTTGGGAGTTATTATCTTTTTACGAGTTAAAATATTTGTAAGAAAATATATACTTTATTGGAATTTTTAAAAAAAATGTTTCTTCTAACCGCCCTTCTCGTCCGCTAATTTTTTGGAAGCAGAACTGGCAACTCTATATTCAAGAATCGAACATAAAGTACGTAACTCTTTAGGGTTTGAGGCAGCGTTACAGCAGCGTTACATAGGAGCAAGGAGGGATTCGATTATTGTTATGTAACATTGATTTTTTAAACATTTGTTGAAATTCTTCCTTTTTCAGTCTTCTGCTAAATATTATCTAATTAAGGTGTTTGAAAACATAATAATTTAAAGTTATTAGTAGTTGTAACAATAAATGGATAAATTTTTTCACAAAAAGTTTGGTGAATGTGTAAGATTACGAAAACAAAATTTCAAAACTGACCTGTAGTATTTTGTAGAATACAATTAAATTGGCGTAGTGGATTCCCGCCCATGATACACCCAAAACGGCGGTGTGTGCACGGCTTGTGGCCAGAAATTTTCTCGCTTTGCGTCCTTCTTTTTGTCCAATCTGATTGTTTTTCTCTAATTTCCCTCCAATCTTATAGTTAGATGCAGTCAGCCTCGAAAACGAATTCCGACTTTGTCTTAAATTTTAATATACTACATAGATTAATTGAATTTTATTTATTTCCACTTCTTGCATTTACGAGTCTGTGCCACAAGCGTTACGCCAATATGTAGATGGAGTTCGAACGAGTGTTACGGGTGCGTTACAGGGGAGAGGGGGTTTCAAAATATTCCGAATTGGTGTTACGTGTATTAAGGGCGGACACTCATTACATTTACAATTTTACATCCATACACAAAATTTTAAAAATTTCCAGCCCTTAATGCAAAGGAAGTTTGTTAAAATGTGGAATTATGAGCTAATTGTTACAAAGACGTTCAAGCAGAATTTTGAGAAACTTTTTAAGACACTATGTGAAGCACTTATTTTCACAAACACAGTAATATAATCAAATTGCCAATGACGTAAATATTAATAACGTGCGATGTAAAAAATACAGATGTGTAATTAAAACAGCAAAAACAGTTTTTAGCTCTATATCTACAAACATTTCGAAGAAAAAATATGAAATTGCTTTTAAAGAATATTGTTTTTAGTTCTTTTTATTATTAACCATATTTCACTCCAAACTACAAAAAAACAAATTATATATATTACATCTTCGTATGATACAATCATATTAAATGTATTACTATTTTGTAATTCTTGTATGGAAATATAGTCAGAAGATACGCATATGTTCAATAAAAGCTTGTAGGACTGTTAGAGGTGGTGAGTTGCAATTAGTCCCTAGTTTTACGAATGTTTTTGATTGTATCACTTGCAAAAGCTCATTTTATGAAGATACGTTACGTTCCTATTGACGACAATGTTTAAGAACTACGACATTGTTTTCCCGTCTTGCTCAAAGTCTCTATTATCAGTTTATATTAACGCCAACAAAAGGCGGCCGTAATTATCACCTTCTGTTATCAGTGCGGCGTGTCAGCAATGTTTTGCAGCAAGCAACAATGAACGCCAATTCGTTTGGGATACGCATTTGAAAAATTGTATTATTTATACATTTTGTACAAAAAACTCATATTACCGAAACCACTGAACTTCACATTATTTTTAGATCTGTTTTCCATGAACATATTTTATTAATATGTAAATATTTTTCTTCAAGTAGAATTATGACGATAGAGACGGAAAACATTTTGAACATTTGCAATTTTCGTAAAATCAAGGTTTCTAACGAACATAAGACCTGTACCATTCTCTTAGTCGTCTTTCACACTATCCAACAACAGAATTTAATCAAAAACGATCGAACAAGTTTTTTGAAAATGTCCCTGGGCCTTAATGCGTAGTACCTCCTAAAATTAAAATATCGGTTTCAAATTGAAGGCGCCGCGACTTCTGCCAGATAAATTGCGGAATATCAATTTTGGATATGATCATCTGAACCGTTTAGCTGCAAGCCTTGTTCCGAGACACACGGACAGACGTTTTTCCGTTAATCGATTTTTCTGTATCAAAGACCCACAAAACATGGATTCTGACTACACCACTTGCTTGAGGAGATTTTTTTCCCTAAATTTAGCAACTGGATTTATACAATTTTTGATTACCAGCGCCCGGCACTATGAGTTTTTCTGCAGAAAATTTGCCGTTTCTTCGCATATCATACGTAAATTTCTGCTGCTTCAGCGGCATGACTTCTTTATAAAACTTGGAACTTTTTTGGAGAAAAGTTTGAAAATAATCTACAGCGTTCATTTAAAGTACCCCCAAAATTTAAGGAGTTCTTTTCAAAATCGCAGAGCTTTGAGATACGCTAGAACGACCGGGGGTTCATATTCATTGAAGGGGTATATTCTTTTTCTTCTTGACTTTCAGTAGCTATAGCTGCTACCTATACACCTGATAATACACCTGATTCTGCCTTGGTTCATTCATCAACTTTGGTTACGGCTGGAGTATATTTACTTATTCGTTTTGGAATAATTATTGAAATATATTCGATGACTGATTTTATAATATTTATTGGTTGTTTAACTACATTTATGTATGGTTTAGGTGCTAAATTTGAGTTTGATTTGAGGAAAATTATTGCTTTGTCAACTTTAAGTCAGTTGGGTCTTATAATAAGAACTATTGGATTGGAGTATTATGATTTAGCCATTTTTCATTCATTGACTCATGCATTATTTAAAACTTTGTTATTTATATGTGCAGGTATTATTATTCATGGCATAAATAATCTTCAAGATATTCGCGGAATGGGTGGGATTGTAAATCAAATACCTTTAACTTCTGTTCGTTTTTTAATTACATGTATATACCGACCACGGTATATTCATTCATACGAATAATTTATGCTACAGTGTTATACAGACATCCCAATAGCAGACGGTCAAACGGGCGGACGTTTTGCCGTCAACTAATTTTTTGGTATCAAGTGCCCAATCAGTAGAGAAAGTAATTTACTATATTTTGGAAGAGGATTCATCCACTTTTTCTGAACCTTTTCCCTGATAAAGAAAAGGAGCTACTGCTTCAGAGCAAGTCACATGACGTACCACAGCACGTGTGGACAGAACTGACAGAGTCGTTTATTTGCTGCAGGCACTGTAGATGTCAGGTCTATTATTTCACACACCTACTCATTGGAGTGCGACGGAAGTTTGTTCGGTGCTGTGGCCAGCACTAGGTAAGTCTGCTAACGCAGTGCGATTGCATCTCATTACACCGCGGCGTTTTATATGTGAAGTACATTTGATGTTTTAGACGAACATAAACTGCTGTAATAAGGTTATCAAAAATTTGCTGCGAAGTCCCAGTAATTAAACCCAACTTATTTTTGAAAAGCAATTTAAATGATGCACTCCAAAAGTTAATTTTTACTTACGCATGATAACAATGTGCGGCTGTCAAAATATACTTTTCACTAATGATGGAACCTCCACACGAGTGGTTTCCTTGGTACTCTAGTGACACCTGAAAATAGACAAAAAAAATGTTATGTGAATTAAAGTCAGTACTTAAATAACTTTGTTTCCATAATTAGTCGAAAAAAATAGGCAAATTTTTTTTAAGAAAGATGCCAAAAAATGTTTTTTAAGAAAGACATCCTAAAAATGCGTTTTTGTGTTAATTTTAAAAGAAAAAAAAACTTTTAAATTTTCGAGAAACGTATTCAAAAACATTTAATGCGCTTATACTCGCAAAAGCAGTAATGAATAAAATTCACACGTCCTGTTAACAACAGGACAACAAAAAACAGTTAGTTTATTTTTTTAAAAAGACATGCTCTCAGAGTGGAAGACAGACTCAGAGAAAAACTGAGGGACTGAGTTACACACACAGAGACTGACAGACGGACGTTTAAAAATGTTTTTCGCTATCAAACGATCACAAAACTTGCATTTCTGTAAAAATCTCGAAATAGATTTTCCCCAGCATTGCGTAAGTCTCTCATACACTTACCAAGTTTGTTCTCTGTTCATATGTACATTCACGAATAAGTAAAAAAAACAATTAAAAACGAATAAGTCGCACTAAACATGACCACTTTCAAATACATTTTTTTGCCTTAACTTAAAAAAAAATGTAATCAGAAGAAAGCATTTCAAATGTAATTGAAATTGTAATTCAAATGACGAGCAGATTTTGAGTAATTCAACATCCCATTAATTCAGAATAAAATATTTTGTCTCACTCACAATAATGTTAATTTTTATGCGAATATTATCCTTTAATTTTTAAACGCCATAGCTAAGTAAGCCTGATACAAAGAAGAGTGAAACGACGCATTTTTTAAATACAGAAGGGTATTATTAATTACTTACCGCGAAAGGAAAATCGGTTATAGTAGTTTCAGTTCCTCCAACAATACGGTCCTCAGGTTCGATGAATTTGCTCTTAATAAATCTAGGACCTGAAAGTAGGTAGTTTTTAAACATTCGTGCCTCAAAATAAATAAAATTACGTACTATTAATTTTAAATTTGTATTAAATTGAGTGAAGGTCAACTTTTAAATTTTGACAAAATGTGTCATTGAATGTATGTATACGTTCATTGAATGTATGTGTCATTGCATGTATAAATATGTTCCTTTAAAATGCAAAATGAGCAATCGAAACTCTCTCTACGCATACCTCCAATTTCATACAAAACGGCAGAAAAGGGCCAAGTTTGGCATCACTGTTGCCGTAGAAGTATATCTATATAACAAAAAACGTTAAAAACTGGATGTGTCGGATTGAGGAGTAGATCATCTGCGCACGTTTTCTGGAGTTCCATAATCCCTTCCTATCATTTCAACTACAAATAGTTGAAAGGTGAATGCAAGTTTAAAACAATTAAAAAAGCGCGAAATTATAAACACTTGAAAAACCAGACATTTTCGTTCGCTTGTTATAGAAAACGTATTTGCAAACGAACTGCAGATTTGATTTTTCTGCATTGCTAACAAAATAGTAACTCGCAAAATAGAAACAAAACGTGCGCCTAGGGAAGGTACATTTGTGTCCAGAAGCAAAATAAGGGGCCATCTCAGCATTTTCTCAGCGGAACTGGGAAACTAAAATAAAACCTGATCGAGATGAGTGTCATTGACCCGAAAGCTGAAGTACATCGTTTCAAGCGCGCGAACACAATTAGAACCGACTTATAATTTTGGAAACTTCTTCCCATTTGAAACGGTAGATGTCCTTCAAATTGCCCATATCGGTTACTACGAGATGCTAGATACACAAATAAATGTTTTTAAAAACATTTTCAACAGTTAATTATGCCGCAATTTTCATATTTCAGGTCTGATCTGTCATGTCCTCATAAGAGCCCCTGTTAAACCAACAAACTTTACTGTCACGCGAAATCTCGACGTAAAAATCGATTTCAACTCTCCCAGAACATAGAAGAACCTCTGATATTTAGATAAATACAATAAAAAAGGCAGGATGAAGAAACACCTATTCGCTCAAACCACCATAAGAACAGCTCCAAATCTTTCAACGAAAATTGCCGTTTACGATTGCTATTCAATGTTTTCAAAGAAAATTGAACTATTTCACGAGATTTTACTACCCTGCAATATTCTTAAAGTCATGTTGCAGGTCTACCATTATGAGATTGTAATATATACGACAATGTTTAAAAAAATAGTCAAATCAACTGTACAGCATTATAAATTTCAGAAATTGTTTTGAATCGTACAACGAAAATTTTTATATATGTTCGAAATCCTTACTTTTCGTTGAGAATATAGCATTATTTTTCATAAGAAGATGAAGGAATGAGAAATTTTGAACTTTGTTATACGTACCTAACGCAGCACCAACTACACAGAGTGGAAAAAGTAGTTTCAACATGCCGCAGGGATGTGGTAGCGACCGATTGTTTGAGGACGTTTAAGCGCAAGTGTAATCCCTTCAAACACAGTTTGCGATGTATTATATCTTACCCCACTGGTTTCTGCTATTGCCTAATTTAAGATGGGTTATCAACAAATTAGAATACACTCGTGTTCGGGTACGCAAGAATAGCTGATACGACATTTTGAGCAATGGTCAGCAATCGTCCTTGGACGTTTGTGCAGATAGTTAACATATCCATTGCGGCAGAGGGTTAACATATCCATTGGGCGTACTAGAAATTTACAACATTGGTGAAAGGATTGTCATGTAAATACATATTTTTACTGGTAGAATGTAGCTGCGTTCAATATTATTTTCAAGTTTACATTAAATTTTGAATGAATTAAAACCATTTTTTACTTACATTCACATATTTTGGTATAAATTCTATTTTTTATATTTCTAACGAAACCGTTTCTTATAAATGAGAGGCATTCAGCTTCTAATACAAATGTAAAATATTGTCTTTTGTATCTTCGATATAAATCGACAGCCGACAAAGTTTCGGCTACGCTTTTTCGTCATCTTCAGGTCTATGTTTTCAAGAAAATACAGTTAATAATATACTGACAATTTATTATAATCTTTATAATATTTTTAAATCCTTTACTACACAAAAGGTAATAATTCTAAGGGCAAGAAATTGTGTGCTGTTTTAGCTACACTATTTTTATAATTTAGTCTTCTTAAAGGCGCGTTTACACGGAGAGAGTTTTCTCTCCTAACTTTCCGGAACTGGTTAGGAGACACGTGTAAATTCTCAGGAGAGCGATCTTTTCTCCGGAGACATGACGTCACAAGAATGTTCGAAGTCTCTACAAGAGAGCAGTGTAAAGACTTTGGAATCGATGAGAATCGTATCTCCTGGGAGATAAATAGTATTCAAGAGAGTTGGAAGACTTTTTGCTCTCTTGGTATACGAATATTATGGTGTTCACGTGCTCGATTAGCCATTCTGCGTCTGTCTGTGTTCTGTGCGGCGTTCCAACGTGGTCGGTGGATTTCTGTTCTTGTGTGGAAATTATATACTGGGGAATTATAAATACAAATGACAAAGACTGTATGTATCTCCTGTGGCCAAAAACGCCGTACCGTCAAACCAAGTCTCTTTCCGAAATAAATTCTTTTCCACTTTTCTTGCTTTTTGATTGCGTGAGATATTTTCCTAATAAAAAATTCCAAATTCTTCTGAAGTTACGAAGTTTTTTGTACATGACTACATTATCGTTTTATAATATTTTTATTACATCCTTTAATAAATTAAAACTTCAAATTACGGATTAATTGTAAAAATGTGTTATATAAAACCATATAAGGTCTTCTCTTTTAAATGCCTGTTCTAGGTGTAATGCCTCTTCCACCAAAATTAACAAATTTCAAATAATTTCAAAATAATATTCTTCACAACATTTTACATATTTCCTAGTTTATATCATAACAAAAATTTACAGAGAACTTAAAATTGGATTCTTCAAATCGTTTATACTTAACTTCACTAAACGTTTCTAAACAAATTATCAAATTCACCCAGTTTTCAAACCTTTGCATTAGGTCAAAACTAATTTCCTCATCCTGGACTCCGACCACGTTTTCCAAAAATATTTTAATCGTCCGTAAATTAAACTTGTTTCATTTTATTGTCTCTGCAAAAATGTAATGCAATTAACAGGTGGCAAATAAATATTTTTAAAAAAGTCCTCTTCTTGCAATTCTGCCATCAAAGTTTTATAAACTCAGTTCTTCTTTCTCAAGAAAACAAAATCACTCACACTTGTCTCTTTCTTTTCCTCCGCTTTCTTCAAAATTGTGAAAGTGCAACAAATTGTGAAACAGTTTGTCACATTCTAACCTCAAACTGCTTATTCAAGATGGCTGCGTCGGAGAACATCGATATACATTTGTATCAAGTGTAAACAGCAAGAAGAATTACTTTCCGGAGATATCTCAGGAACCAACCTCCCGTTGTAGGAGACTCGCGTTTCGGGAGATATTTCAACGTGTAAAAGCTAGAAGAGTTATCTCCGTGACGTCATGAAGTTAGGAGACTTTGTCTCTTCGTGTAAACGCACCTTTAGAGAGAGAGAAAAAAGAGAGGAAGAGAGAGAGAAAGAGAGAGAGAAATAGAGAAAGAAAGGGAGAAAAATAGAGACATAGTGAGAAAAGAGAGAGAGAAATAGTGAGAAGAGAGAGAGAGAGAGAGTGCTCCAACAGCACTTACTTTTTGGCATTATTGTGAGTGGTTAGGTAATATTGAAATATGAAAATTTCTCTCTGACTCTTCAACTACCAATTGCAACATTGTTAAAGACACGAAGCGCGAAAAATAATAAATTTGTAAGCAAATGCGAGAAAAAAATCATTAAAAGTTAATAAATAGTACGGTACTAACAGCGTTGGCAAACAAATGCAAATACATTGAAGAATATATAATAGTAAATTATTAGACATGGTAGTGTAGTATTCTACAAATATTAAAAATCATTTGTTTATATTACTAAGGAAACCATGTTTTTACAATTAAACGGGGAAAAGCATCTGAAACACAGCACTTACGTTCTCGCAATATCTCAATATCGTTATGTACGTTGGGACGCCCATATATGAATCATTAATTTTGAAAAAAAATTACGCAAAAACTACTAGCATTTACAAATAATTGTAAATGACCTTTTTAAGGAGCTAAGTTTGTACAATATGCTGTGTATGAGGCAAACATGGCTTTGTATGAGGCAAATATCTCTACCTTCAATTTCAGTAGGTGTTTTGAAATATTTTTTGTGCAATTTTCGAAAAATAATGGGAAATACTCGAAAATGGGACGAGCACCATTTTTTACCATTCTCATTACACATATGGAGAAAATTTAAGAAAAGACTTATTGCGGTTTTTGAGAAAAAAGTCGTAAATTTCAAGAGCAAACTGCAGAAACTGCTACTTTTTTCAAAAAATTTAACATAAACGTTTCTAAAGAGCAATTTTTGTACAACATACTTTATCTGAGGCAAAAATCACTCTTCTATTTTGTAGTTTAGCTTAGTTTTAGCTTGAAAATTTTGAAAATGTCCCAGGGGCTTTATGTAAACAAATCCGCAAAATTACAATTTCGGTTTCAAATTTTAATTCTTTCAAATTCGGACATCAGCGAGAACGATTGGGGAATATCAATTTTGGAAAAAAATCGCTTGAATGGTTTATGTGCTGGCGTTGTGCACAGACGGACGGACAGATGTTTTGCCGTCAATCGATTTTTCGGAGTGAAGGGCGCACAAAATATGGATTTTCTCCACACCACGTTTTAGAGGGATATGTTTTCTACATTTAGCTACTAGATTTATCCAGTTTTTTGTTACCAGGGTTCGGCAATAAGAGTTTTCGTGTCGAAAATTCGCCGTAAGGTTTCGCCGAAAGTATTGTAATTGTGTGCTGTTTTCAGGGACACAATTATAATACTTTCTCTTATTACATTAGTAAGTACAAGGAATTAAAAAGTACAACATTAATAAATTAAACATTTTATTAATTGAAACAAAGTTACACTAAATTATGCTTAGATCAATTTTAATTACTTACTTAAACGAGTATTTTTTTATTAATATTTTTGTCAAAACAGTATTTTCTAACAATAGTCTCCGTGACTAGTTTGCGAAAGAATAAAAAATATTCGCAACACTGATTGTGAAAACAAATTTAAGGAGTATATCTGTATACGCAATAAATATAGGTATGTTGCCAATACAAACGTTTCACACACTGTTTTTAATAGTTTTCGAAAATATTTCTGTAATAATTTAAAAATTTTAGAACAAGATATTTTCTGTAACAAAATTAATTGTTAATTAAAATTCGTCTTATTTTCCGCCACCGCCATTATTTTCCATAACTTTTTCCTATGTCAGCGGAACTACTTTTTTTCCTAAGGTAGGAGTTGAAAAGTCACTGCAAACGGCAGGAATACCCCCGATCTGGCATCACTAATCGCATCTTCCGAATTTCGTCACATGCGTAACAGTGCGGCAAAACAGCTGTGAATACAGAGAGATACGACAGATTCGTTTTAAAACATCGAAAAGTAGGACAGATAGGAGGACACTTTTCGAGGAAGGACACAACCTACAAAAGGAGGACTGTTTTCCATAAAAGAGGACGATTGGTCACCTTCATATCACAGCTAAAGAAATGCAGCCGTCGTTATCGCTTTCTGTTGTCAGGTTGGCGTTACAACAATGGCTTACCATAACTCACAATGGCCGTCAATCTATTCGTTTTCACTTCTAAAACAAAACAAAAGCCTTTTATAAAAATGAAATAACATATATACAATATAAATATAATTACTACTACTACTGCTGCTGCTGCTTATAATAATAATAATAATAATAATAATAATAATAATAATAGTAATAATAAAAATAATAGTAATAATAATGATAATAATGATAATAATAATAATAATAATAATAATAGCAACAACAACTTCCAATCGAATGTCGTTTTTCACCGTTGAGGAGATTATAAGAAGAGAGTGGTAGAGTCAGCGAACTTTGTATTAAATGAGGGGACATGGATTTCTAGTGTGGGCACAGCTCCACAACAGTTCATGTTGTATGGGGAGTACAAGTCCCCGGCGTGGGCACCTGAGCTTTTCGCTTTTATCCTCACCCCCCCCCCGCCGCCGCACATGTACGACAACGGGCCGATGTCCGGGTCCTGCCGGAACACAGTTTGCAGTCTCGGTAACCTTCCATTCAATGCCTAGGTTGGGCCGCCCCGCTCAGAGTTCCTAGCTTTCCAGGCCAGTACCGGTGTCAATGTCATCGTGCGATGACGCGCCAGTCACATGCGCCGGGACACCGAGTCCCTCCTCCAGAGAATGAGCCCAGAGAATGTGCCCAGAGAATTGGGTCACTGCCACGACGAATTCGAGAGCCCAACTAGGGGCCACCCGAACTCAGGGCGGCTCGGATCCCTCAACCCGTCTCCTTACTCCCCACACCGTTAGGCTAACGACGTGAGTAGCGCCGAGAACCTAGGCAACCTGATGTTAGGTAAATTCCCGCCGGACTTTTAAATGTTCAGACACCTACAGAGGAACCATATTTTACTACTTAAACAAAATGGATGCCGTAAAGGATCTTATGGCTGCAAGGAAATCTTGCTGCTAAATAAAGTAATCTTGAAAGAAATGAAAGCGTAATTTAAGCATGGTTTGGATTGACCACCAGAAGGCCTTTGACAGTGTACCATACATTGTACTTTGAAGACCCTGGATATCTATCGATTTCATCCTAGACTCATTGATTTTTGCAAGGCTAGTATGAAGTCTTGGAGTACCAGGTTACTAATACACAGCGGAAAGGAAGCAGTAGAAACAAGAAAAATTCAGATTAACAGGGGTATTTTTCAAGGAGCATACCCGTGGCTTGTTGTTGGTCAGAGTGCTTGCATTCCACTACGCGGTACCGGGTTGCATTCCCGATGAGGCAGGACTATACTGTGCTTTTTCCTTGCAATGTCGCATTATAGGTTGCTGTGTGACGATGAGAAAATTCCCTTCTCAGGTTGAGAAGACCAGAATACCGCGTGCGGATGCCTACGTGCTAACCACTCGTACCCCCTTAACCCATAGCCACGAGGCGGGGGCGTCGCCGGTAGGCCTGAGCTCGTTCACGGGCAGTCGCGCCAAGTACATACAGACATACATACCACTCTTATTGACAAATACGTATGATCTCCATGCACGAGCAAACCCGGCCAATGCATGAGCGTAACTTTATGGTCAATTTTTCACTACCGCATACTTACTCCATTATAGGAACACTGTCATTGATTGATAGATTGAAATTTCTGCATGAAGTTTGATCTTGACAAGTGTGCAAAAATCAATTTAAAGAGAGTCAAAGTGACAACGTTAGAGAGCATTGACATTCATATGCATACTGTATTTCAAGATCTTGAGCTAGGTAAAACTTACAAATACCTGGACATTGAAGAATGTGAGGCCATCTCGACCGACACAGTGAAAGAGAGAATTCGTAGGAAGTATAACAGAAGAGTGAGACTCGTCCTGCAGTCCGGCCTGAACTCCAGGAATAAAATATTTGCTCTTGGTAGTTTGGCGGTGCCTGTAGTCTGTTTACAGTAGTACAATTTTGTACTCGTTTACTGGACTGAGCAAGAAATTCGAATCAGGGATCGAAAAATCACAAAGCTGCTAACAACGCATCATGTCGCCCACCCTCGAGCTGATGTACATAGACTTTGTGTCACGTAAGGAAGGAGAAAGAGGCCTCAGATAAATTGACTCCTCCCGGCACAATGCAATAGTCAGGATGGGAAAGTATGTAGTCAGTCATCAAGATGACCCTCTAATGACCCTCTCATGAAAGCTAAACGAAGAATGGGAAACAGGCATTGTTGAATTGAATTGATACCTTATTTTTCGCGGCTAGACTTGGGCCATCAGGCCCACTTCCGTCTGACCACGCAAATTTCGCTACGCTCCTTTTTCGAGCTAGCGGAGAAAGGAGGTATTTCTTGGGCATGCGATTTGATTTAGCTCAGAGGTGTCGTTCTGGCTTGAGGATCTTTTACATGCTAGTGAATCTACTAACAGCGGGCGTTACTTCCCCTCCGAAGGAAGGCGTACGAAGGATTATTTCGCCCTTAAAAATCCACGGCATCGGTCGAGTTTGAACCCGCCGACTTGGAAATAACAGCAGTCACGCTAATCGTTACACCATTGCCGCCGCGAAGTTAGTGTAGCAAGAAGCATTGCGAGAAGATTTTTTTCCCAAAATAGATAGGCGTGATTCGCTTTCCCCTGTTTACTCTCTTTTTACTAATTATTGATGTCAAATTCGAGGGCTGCTTGGTTACTCTGCTTGACACACACACACACTTATTACCATTTATCCCTTCTATTTACTAAGCTATGGATGGGAATTTGGGAATTTCTTAGGTGGAAATGATAAACATTATTACGATTGATAACTTAGGCCGTTTACTTATCTAAATTTGATACATGTTATTTGGCCGTAACTCTCTTATCAAATTATCACTACTACTACTACTACTACTACTACTACTACTACTACTACTACTACTACTACTACTACTACGCTACGACAACGACGAGAAAGAGTGTCCCATTCTCTAGGACCACTAGTTAATCAGTTGAAATATCTACGCTTTATATAGACGTATCTTTTAATACGTTTAATTACATTATATACATTATAATTTTGTATTAAAAAGTTTTTCAAGAAATAATCGTAATTTGTTTTTTCAGCTTTCTTCCGTTTTGAAAAGTGTTCAAATTCGGGCTTATTATCTAAATACATCTCTGGAAATCAGAGATGAGATTGTATTGGACTTGGGATGAGATGTACTGAAGTAGAACTGATAACCCGAGATAACTGAGTGTTTGTGCCACATTGCCATTAAAGTTGTGAGTATCAAACAAGCCCCACAATTGCGAAAGGCCTGGCAAGGCTAGCTCGTTATAAACTCGGATGACCTCTTAGGACATATGACGTAGATAGCAAACAATGCAATAGGTCGGTGTTTTGAAATGGAATTTGGCTTTAGAGACCACCCACCATCGAGATACGTGCATTTCATTGGCTGAGTGGTTCGTGGTATTGTGGTGATGATATATCAATAGCTTATCGCTATGACTGGAGCACTGGGACTCGAGAAAATTGCTGTTTTAGTTTTTTAATCCTTTGTTTCGAATTGCAAGCAATTTAACTCATCTTTCCGCCTGAATGTTCCTCACTACATTTTATATTGCCCATATACTACATCTTTTTTATGTTTGGACTAATTTAAGACTAACAGCTTATTAAACCTATTTTGGAAAGAAAGCAATTTTGTCATGAGCGGAATGTGAAGGATTACGTTGCGTGTTGGGTTTGTAAGTCATGGTATCAGTTACTCAACATTTCAAAGTACATAATTGTAGTTATTTCAAAGATAATTTATCTTTTGGAAATTTTAACATTCCACTGCTTTTTTCACGTCATTGCAGGCAGAAGCGGAGCTTGATTGAAGAAGTGTTGGTATCACCTCCCTCACACATTTCATCATAAAGGCAAGCGAATGTCACAGACCTTCTCGTAGTAAATAGTTTCCTAATATCTTGATCAAGAAGTAGCTTTTCGGTTTAATACCCACTGCCTTCCCAGATCCTGTCAAACAGCGTCTAAATGACCTACCTGTTCGACTCGCTTTTCCAGCCGCTCCTTTGGGGGCATTACCAGTAAAGCGCACTTTGGAACGCACTTTGGCACGCGAACGCCGCAGGGTCGCAGTGAGCGTAAAGCACATATCTCGCCCTTGTATATTTACATTCAGTAAAATCTGACTGAGCCAAAATCGATCGGGAGAAAACATATTCCGGTTTGGGAATGTTTCCGTTTTATGGAGGGTTGTCCATTATATGACACTTGTGATATTTATGCTTCCGCCCTGAAATGAGTAATTTATGACTTTACTATAATGATTAAAATACATAAAAGTGATCTACTTGTATACAGTATATCAGATTTCAATACCTAAATTAATATTTTGCTAAATTTGGATCGTAATTTTGTACTAGATCACTCGGGACTCCACTTTGCTTTTCGTCTATCTCAAAAACAATTTGTTTGATTGGAGTTTAATTTGGATCATTAAATTTCTCTGACAATGTTCTAATTGTAATATTAGATTGACGTGCTTAAATAATATTTTTCGAAATATGGCACGTAATGGGGGGGGGTATTTTGTACTTAATCCCTCGAGGTTCCACTTTGTTTTTCGCTACCTTGGAAAATATTTGTCTGATTGTCGTTAGTTTGCAAGTATGGAATTCTCTTAAAGTGTTCTACTTGTATACAGAACATCAGAACGCAGTGCCTAAATTAATATTTTCGAAATTTGGCACGTAATGCGGGGAGGTGTTTTGCTCTTGATCACTCGAAGCTCCACTTTGTTTCTCGTCTATCTAGGAAAACATTCGTCTGATTAGAGTTTACTTTGCACCTATGAATTTCTATTAAAGTGTTCTACTTGTATGCAGAATATCAGACGGCAGTGCCTAAATTAATATTATATGAACTTGGCACATAATGGGGGGGGGAGTTTTGTACTTGATCATATGAGGTGTCACTTTGTTTCTCGTCTGTCTCGGAAACTATTCGTCTGTTTGGAGTTTGGTTTGCACCTGTGAATTTCTCTTAAAGTGTTGTACTTGTATGCAGAATATCAGACGGCGGTGCGTAAATTAATATTTTTTAAATTTTGCACGTAATGGGGGGGGGGTGTTTTGTACTTGATCATATAAGGCCTCACTTTGTTTCTGGTCTATCTCGGAAACTATTCGTCAGATTGGAGTTTAGTTTGCACCTGTGAATTTCTCCTAAATATTTTTACTTCTATAGAGAATATCAGATGGCAGTGTCTACAATAATATTTTTTGAAATTTGGCAAGTATTGGGGGGCTATTTTGTATTTGATCACTCGAGTCTTCACTTTGTTTTTCGTCTATCTCTGAAACTTTTCGTCTGATTTTCGTTTGGTTTGCACGTTTGAATTTCTCTTAACATAATGTTTTATGGAAGAAATCACGAATAAATGAATATTAAACATTCTTTATTGACAGCCTCTAAATTCTTCGTGCTTCTAAAATTTGACCTTTTCATCTAATAATCATGTTTTATGAGTTATTTTTTTAACCATTTTTAAACTGATTGTGAAACTCATGTCATAAAAATCCACACCACCGCGCATTTTCCGGGATTCAAAAACATTACCTCCGTGGCAGATGCATTTTTTTATTAGGGGATCAGCTTTTAGCTGGATCCGATTGTTATCTCCAGGATTGTTAGCACACACATCAAAACACAAATACACCTAATGCTGAGGCGGAACTCGGATTCCCGATTTTCTAATCCGAAATCGCTACGGCACTACTGCCTTAGCAATGTGGGCCATCTGATTGGCTATTATTATTATTGTTATCTTACATTATTCACAGTATCTACTGGTCGGTATGTCAACCACACACAGGTATGATGACCAGGTGTGTGGTTGCTTTACTGAAGGTTCAGATGGCTTCTGACAATACGGCATGTATATTATTAGTCATTAGGAATATAATTATTATTATTATTATTATTATTAGTCATATTGTTAAATATACTTAATATAATGACATAAACCCACTTATAAAAAACAATATAATAATAATAATAATAATAATAATAATAATAATAATAATAATAATATTAATAATATTAATAATAATATGAAGAAGAAGAATATAATTATTGCACAGTTCCTTATTTATGAACCATTTTATAGTTATATGACTTCGATTCGGGCAAATGCACCTGACTTTCACATTAAATTTATGTTGCTACAACAGAACTCTCGCGTTATTTATAAATGAGCAATTTTAAAAAATGCTGAGAATTCAAAAAAAATGAAACCTGCGTCATCCTTTTAAACGTTTCTTGTTATACCAGTGGAAATGTCAAACACAAATTACGTAGAAAGAACTCGGATTTTTTAAATGTACATGATTTTCTTTGAAGATACGGATGTGTTTGTATGATATTTTAGCATAGATTTTATGGAAGGCAAAATTCTTTATTTTCAATTATGTAGTTTTTAAATATTAAAATTTTCAATTTTCGAAAGTATTAAGAATTTACTGGAAATGAGATTAGCAATAATGTTTTGCCGTCCTTAGATAGGTACGATGAGAATTTAAATTGAAAATTTGGTGCGGTTTTGGAGAAAAAACTTTACACTTTAAAAAATTTGAAGCTTCTTGAAGATCTCACAAAATAACACTCACACAACGTAAGAAACAGGTAAAAAATATATTTTTGTAATTTTGGAAAAAACAAAAGAATAGAGCAATATGACGATTATGTCATATTAAAGAGTCCATTTAGCAATATCCCTACTAAAAGTTTAAAGAAAAAATTTGGAGCAGTTTTTGAGAAAATATTTATTAGTCAGAATCTTTTTATATGTATAGTATTATTTTTGTAATATTTTTTTAAAATTGCACATATTTCTCGCAATATTGCGCGAAAACTACTAATTTGACACAACTACTGAACAACTACTGACAACTACTGAATTTGAATGTACATGATTTTAATGACTGAACTAACTATGTAGAAAAAAGTTTACTTGAAGGAAAAATTAAATTTTCAATTCTGTAGTTGTAGAAAAACGCCAGAAAAATTCAAGTTTTTGAAATTTTCGATAATTCAGAGTTATTAGACATGAAACTTGGATCTATGCTATACTTTTATAAGCGTATTTTACTGTATCCTTACAAAAAAATTTAAAGAAAAATGTTTGAAGCGGTGTTCAGGAAAATTTTGAATTTTTTTTGTCTGGGAGACTTTATGTAAAGTATACCCAAATGTTAAATAATTGTTTTCAACATCTCAAAGTTTCAACTGGACTCGTATGGACAAGGGTTTCTTCATTTTGGAAAACACCTACGACTGATTTAGGCGTTAGTGGTGTTCACAACGGCAGACAGACGGACGTTTTGAAAAAAAAACCTTTTCCGGTATCAGGGGATCCCAAATGTGTAATTCCGTTAAAATCTGGAAATCGATTTTCCGCAACATTACATAACTTTCCCTATACTCCGTATATACGTATTCATACGGGAAAGTAACAGAAAAGGAACGATACAATGACGGAATACAATACAATGACCGGACAATTACCAAAAATGACATGGATCATCTCAAGACTGCAAGCAGCAGAAATGAGATATCGTACTGCAATAGCTGGGTACAATTTCCTAGGTAGGAAAATAAACTCATATTCTAAATGAGTTGAATGTAGAAAGTCCTGTAGAGAAAGTCGAGAACTACAGACTCTCTTTGCAAAAACATCTACTTTCAATAAATAAGGGTCGCATTCGTAAACAAATGGCAATAAATAAGCCTAAATGAATGAGGAATATAAGACGTTGAAAATGCGAAGGAAGAATCAAAGAATCAAAGAGAAAAAAGTCCAACTGCAATAACAGTTATTTAGGACATAAGAATTGTAAGACATATTACAACAGGAGCTAGAAGAATTAACGAGCCCATGGGGCCGAATTTGATAAGCAGATGTCTATTGTAATAAGATATTACGTTAGTACGATTATCCTACGTTATTGAAGTCTGCCTTTATGTAACCAAAAAGGATAAAATTTGTTTGTGCCACCACGATTAAAATATATCGTTTGTCGCCACCGGCACATCATACACGTTGGCATGAAACAAATATAAATTATTGTATATTGTGCTTTGGCGAAATAGGCGGGAGCGTATAAATTCTGCAGTATACGTTTCTCTTTTGCATGGGGCGTATCTGGGAAACGGTGACATTCCCCGGACATTAAAATTTTGTTTTCAATTAAAATCATGGACATGAGTTTGTTTACTAAGAGAGAACTTTGTAAACTTCCAACTATTATTATTATTATTATTATTATTATTATTATTATTATTATTATTATTATTATTATTATTGGTGTATATTATACACGATTGATGCGTGTAATTTTTCCAGGATCAGCTGAAGGCGCAATCACAAATACGACCATGTCTACGCAGGAGCCGTACCTGCAGCCTCCTCTGCGCAGACGACGGATGTCGCAACAGTAAGCGCCACGGGACCAACATTATTATTATTATTATTATTATTATTATTATTATTATTATTATTAATTAGAGAATTCTCTCCATAGATGGAAGACGCTAAGTAAGAGACCCAATTTTTCTTTGGGTTCTTTTTTTTTCCGAGAAAGCTTGTTTACGTTGTTCTGACCACTTTGGTCTGTATTGTTTTTGTTTTGGTTGCTTTAGTGCAACATCCCACTTATCCACTTTGTGTCGGAAGGTGTCTCGTTCTTCTATATCATCTGATCATCATCAATATCTCTTCTGAAATCTTTTCTAATTTCGTTCAGCCAATGTGGTGTGTTCTTAAGTGTGGTTAGGTAATCTAGTATCTTTTTTGTCAATCGGTTTTCTGGTAATCTGTTAAGATGTCCAAAGAATGTCATTCGCCTTTTCCTGATGTGAATTTTAATGTTTGGAAACTTTTCTACGGTTTTGACTGATTGTAGTCTGTAACTGTCTTTTGTATATCTTGCTCCTAAAGTTTTCCTAATTATTTTTCTCTCTTCTTTTTTTTATTTATTCAAGTTCGTGTTTTTTGTTAAAAGGCCATGTTTCGCTTGCATACAGAGCTGTTGGTTTTATGACTGTGTTGTAGTGTCGAATTTTGGTTCGTCTTGATACGGATTTTTTGTTGTAGATGTGTTGAACTAGTCTTAATACTTTCTTTACGTTTTGAAGGCGATTTTGCTGCGAAATGTTTTCAAGGTCTGTAGGATCGATGAATTCTCCGAAGTATTTAAAGTATGATGCTCTTTTTATTTTACCGTACTTCGTCTATGTACCTGCGAT